GTAGGGTTAGATCATCAGTTTCGTACTGATTTGAATGGACGTCGACAGTCAAGACTCACATTTGTACAGTGTATAGGAGCATCCTTCAATGTTTTTAATACAAGTGAGCATTAGGTTAAACAAGGTGAGTGGTTTTTAACAGACAAACTTTACCCAGTGTCTCAGTGGTAAGTCTGAAGGTTTATAACGTTAAAAACACACCAGTGGTGGGCACAGCACAGATCCCCCATTGTGTGACTTTGTGCTTAACAACAAACCAAAAATCTGATAGTTAGATATTTTTCTAAATGAAAATGGAAGTGGTTGAAAAAGCTCTTTTTCTGAGATTTTAGTTCTGCAGCTTCTGATTTTTATTTGGTATTTTGTTTCTTTAAGTATGAACATACACAATGGAGTATCTTCGCTGCATTCGCGACTAGGTTCGATTTCTGATTTTTACCTATATAAGATCTTCATTTATTTCGGTATTTATCTTCTTACTGTTGAAGGCGAAAATACAAAAGTACAACACGTAGCAACAATTTTAAACTATATAATTAATGCAATTACACAACAATAATGGAAACAAAGTAAAACTTAGTAACAAAGAAAAAAACTGAAGCTTGAAAAATTAGACTTGGCATGACTTGATGGCTTGAGTGCTCGACATACAAACTGCGGATCGTGGGTTCGAATCCCATCATCGAGCATGCTCACCATTTCATCTATGTGTTGTTATTCTCTTAGTTCACTGCGGAAATCGAACCCCGTATTTTAGAGTTGTAAGTCGGTAAAGTTACTGCTGAAACTCATCTACATCACACAATACAGTAGCCAAAAAAAATGGTGGAGGATTGTGTTGACTGGCTGCCTTCCTTCTAGTTTATCACTTCTAACTTAGGGACAACTACCACAGTTAGCCCTCGAGTAACTTAACGAAAATTCAACAAATATACATATTTTGAAAATATAAAACTACCCAGGAAAAAAAATCAACTACTCATTGTAAATAAAAACAATACTTTAAAAGATTGCATAATTTTCAAGAAGTGTGATAAATACAAAAATGAACTGACAATTAAATATCGATTTGTTTCAAAAACTTTGCACGAAACTACACATAGAGCTATTCCTAATTTTGAATTGAAATAAATACGAAGTAAACACAAAAGATATGTGTTCAGAAATACCGGTTTCTTTTTTGTTTGATTGTGCGTTTCAGAAACATCTTTCACTCGGATAACCAATCGAGTAAATAAGTTAGGTTCGTTAACAACAGGAGGTTCTCAGTTCTTGGGTTTTGATGTGAGTTTCCCTTCGAGTTGGAACATTTAAATCATAGAGAAAGAGATATTAAAGACAGGTTCATACAACTGAGAAATGTTTAGTGGCACTTTAACAGTTTACAGTACAAAATAAAAAACAATACAACACAAGGCAAAATGACACAATTAACGCACTAAATAGTAAAGCAAACACTACGCTCTAACTAGTGGATCAAAAGCCACAGTGTAACCTAATGGAAGAAACAATACACTCTAAATAGTTTCACTTGGGACGTGAAACGACGCTAACTTCGTTCGTCTTGCGAACGTACTCAAGGGGGACATACACTAAAAAGTCGCACAGACCAAAACATCCTCAGATCTCTAGCACATGAAATACAATTATTAATTCTTGTTAGATCAGCTAGACAACCGGCGACGTATACCAACAGCTGGTCCACCCACAACTATTACCTGATTCGCCCACAAAAATAACTCAATTTGCTTTTTAATTGCTTTGTTATTCGTGTAAGAGAATCAGATATGTAGGCTTTGTTTTACCTTCACCTAGAACCTAGCTTACTAACTGGAGAAAGCTGCTAACTAACTTAAGCGTCTTTCGGTGTCCGGAAAGGGAATCATGAAAAACAACGTAACTTAAAAAGTTTAACTTTTAACGATAAGTGTGCAATACTTATAGAACATTCAAGTACTGCTCGTCCTCTACCTTTGTTGTTAAAAAACACAGCTTACATTATAGAGGCATTAAAGCCGTTATCTAGCATGAAAAGACTTCGTCATACGTTATCAAGATTGAACTTGACTTCCTGGATAAAGAGAAAAATTAATTTTAAATTGTTCTAATCCAACCGATATCTGACTGTTTAAAAGGTCATGGACACTTTCATTTCGGTAAAGTATAATGTCATAGTACACATGTAACAGATGACTAATTACTCTAGTTAGAGTTTATACATGTCAGTATCAAACTGATGATCTTACCGCGTTCTCGACGTCCATTCAAATCAGTACCAAACTAATTATCTAACCGCGTTGAAACGTGAAATGTATACACCTCTCATAAAGCATAATAAACATAAGTCACTGAAAATGTCTCACATTCTCTTTAACTATTAAATGGTTTGCTTTGTAACGCTTTTGATTTTGGTGTTTTCATCTGAGCTACCAACTAAAACAATACGTTTCAACTGAAGACAAAATGGCATTTTTGCAAATATCGTATTAAAGGATTACACTTGGTTTGTTAACAAATATATTTATTTGATATCTAGAGACAAAGTTACAAGTGAGTATTATGATAAAATACATAAATTATGAAATTTAAATACACGTGAGTATTAAGTAGTGGTTTTACCTATATGAAATTGTTTGAACTTATGTGTATGGTTTCAACTGTCTTTTACTCACTTTCGCGAACCTTTGTTTACAAAGCTATTTGAAAAATATATCACATTAATGATACAAATTTGTTATTCTGGATTATTTGGTGAACAAACTGTTTTAGGTAATGCAATGCTTCCTCTAATAATCAAAACTGTTTACACCATAAATTGAAACACAAAGCAAAACTCGATTTTGTTGACAATTCAAAAATGTTTTCTGAAACATATTTTAAACATTTGGAGTTGAGATGTTCAAATCGTTTACACTGCCACGTTTAGTGTCTCAAGTGAAAACATAAACGGTTTAACTTGAGACATCGTGATTTTCTTTTCAAACGCTTTAGTGTTTCAAACTTACTCGTTAAAGGTGTCTTAAAATCTGCAGTCCATTTACAGGAAAGAGTTGAATTTTTTTTTTTCATTTTTAAGTTTAAAACGGAGACGTGTGTAAAGAATATATATAAAGGAACTTACAAGTTTAAAGCTTATATTTATCTGTTATTAGGTTTTAGAAAATTACATCTTCAGCTATTCTCAAAGTTGTCACGTATAAGATAATCTAAAACATCTTAATGTTGACATAAATTATTCAAAAATCATTATAATCAGAAACAAAAGCAAACTTTGAAAGTTTTCTCTCTCGTCATTAAAACTGCGAATTTCAACAAGAAACAACTCTGAAACAAGATCATTCGATTCGCCACTTGTCACTAAATTCGGTCGGCTTTGGGGAGTTATTTATCTCTCTCTTACTGGGAAAGCTGGAGAGATACGAATCGAGAAACAAATTCAGGGTTACTGGTGTAAGATGACATTCCCCAAAACCAGTCTAATCCGATGACAAATATCGAATCAAATCATACATTTCTTTCTCGCTGAATTTTCTGGATTTTATGTTATTTTCGTCTCTCTTTGTGCGTGTACTTGTTTATAAGCAGACTTTAACATGTGTCACGAAGATATGAATATAGGAACATTTACGTTATACAATAGTTAGTATAGGAACGTAGTTAACTGTTACTTTTTTTTAGGGGATTATGATCTTAAGTCTAAATACATTTTTGTCTGATAGTCTTTTGTTAGGTTTTAAATAAGTAGTCCAGTAACTGACGTGTGAAAACTGAAATAAATATTAATAAATGTCTGCTTTGCTTTTTTTGTCATCTATCAATTTAATGACAAATGCTAAAGTTAAATTCATAATTAACAATCACTATATAATTTTATTTAAATAAATGTTCTGTTTATTATACAGGACTTCGGAAACTATGCTTTCAACTACGACATTGTTGACCCAGTGGGGGCTACCAACGGCCGTTGGGAAGCTGGAGATGGCTATGGAAATGTACGTGGAGCCTACAGTCTAACTGACACCGACGGACGTGCCCGCAGAGTTGAATACGTTGCTGATGGTGCCGGTTTCCGTGCTGTTGTAAAGACCAACGAACCAGGTACCGCCGCTAGTGCTCCTGCAGCAGCCGTTGTGGCCTCCAGCCAACCTGGCGTTGTCGCTCACGGACCTGCTGTAGTAAAAACTGCTGTTGCTGCTCCTGCCTTTTTAGCACCCGCTGCTGCACCCGCTGTTGTCGCACCTGCTCCTGTTGCTGCTGCACCTGCCTTTGCTGCGGGTGTTTATGGAGCTCCCGTCTTCGCTGCTGGAGCTTACGGCGCCCCTGCCTATGCTGCTGGACTTTATGGAGGTCTTGCTTCAAGGGCTGGATTTTTGAAATACCATTAAATAGTTCTTTGTATTTTGTAGAAGCATCTTTATGTAACCTTGCACAATAGATATGCTATCCTGACAATCCACTAACTTTAATGTCTAACCCTATTTCATTTCCTTTCTTTCTTCTACTGCTGTTTTTAAAGCTAATTTACAGTTATTTATCTGAACATTCACCTCAAGTTTTCTCCTCTTTCTGCCTTAACATCCTCACTTCGTTTTGAAGATGTATTGTGTATGACTGTGTAATTGTACAATATATATATTTATGTAATAAAAACATGCGATTTTTAGATATAAGAAAATAGATATATTTGTTTTTTATTCGCGTGAAAATACGGCATTTATATTGTTATAAGTTAAATTATCTACCGTTCGTCTTTGCCATGTTAGGTTTAGCTTTACTGTATATTGTTACATACATCTTGTCGGCGGGAGCTGACGCTGCTGCCACCTGCCAGGCCATGAAGCAATCCACCGTGGGTGACAGCCACAAGGGCCAAGAGAAGAGCAATCTGGAAACAATTTAAATAAACTCATGAATTTCTTTCTCGACAGTTTTTCTTAGTAACGTCGAGAATTTCATAGGTGTATTTGTAATCAAAATCACGTAAGCTGCAAATGCTTTGTTTTCACTTTTCTTTTATTTTTATTGAGGGGGGGGGGATTTCAAATCAGTCTCTGATTGTAAAATCCGAAATGGACAAATTAAGAAGAAGGTGGGAGTAAAATATGGAAATATTTACAGATAAAAATATTGCTAAAAGTAAGAGTATCCACCTGTTTTTTGTTTAATAACATCGCATACTCATAGTTTAGACAAGTATGTCAATTACTGTGTTATGTTTATTTCTGATCTGTGTACATAGCTTGCTTTACTCAGAAGGATTTGATAGTTAACAATACAATTTAAAGTTGTGTCAATGAAAAAGACATGGGGGGTTTTTTAATGCTAAAGTAAATCGTTTCTTACACTATGAGAACTCATTGCGAAATAGGATACCATATCTATCAAACCGTTAATTCAAAGTTCGAAACTTTAGATTTACAGTTATGAGGTCGAGAGTTTGTATCTTACCTTAGCGATCATGTTGCTGCTGCTGCTGAAGTCTATGGAAAACTTGGAACAAGTGTTGATGTCTGTTAGTTTCCGCCGGTTTTATAGTGTCTAATGACGTCATCATGACCCAATAAATATTGGGAAAATGTCTATGGAACGCTAAAGGATTAAACTCAGGGTTGTCTGCTCACCCGGTTGTTCTTCTAACGTGGCTATGATAACTTTCAATATATATCAAGGCTGTTTTTTTTTTCAACACTTTAGTGATTATGCATGTACGCACTGTCGCTTCTAGGGAAGTTTATAGTTCCGTAAGGACAAACCAGACTGGTTCTTAATTTTTCTACAGTTAACGAACATTTGACTTATGCTATCAAGTTTTTCACTGGGTCTGTGTCTTAGAGTTTGTATTTCATGTGTATCCAATGTGTTTAGTCCAATAGTTTAATGATATCACCAAGTCAATTCTGTTGGATAAATCGAAAATAATTAGGGTTGTTTAGCTCACAGCCACTGTCTCAAATAAAGACATAGCCCTTAGTTCATAACATCTGTCCTGAAATAAAGACATAGCCCTTAGTTCATAACATCTGTCCTGAAATAAAGACATAGCCCTTAGTT